CCCCCCCCCCCCCCAAGCGATCTGCTCATGGCTCCATCCTGCACCCTGCCCTGGCTGGGCAGTACCTATTGGTGCTCCTTCGCTTCAGTGCCCAGGGTGGTCGCTCCACTTGCCGCCCCCCTTGCTATGGCACTGTATGCACTACAAAAGTCCAAGTTAAGACTAAAGCCTCATGTTGGCCTTTTGCATAGAAGTGATTCTGCCCAATCTGACCCTTCTCAAGATCTAAGGGTCAGTTGCTAGCAAGCTAGACAATGCAGTTTTGTAACGTACTTATATTACACTCCCCCGGTATACTGACAGCAGAGCGTTGCTATGTAGAAAACATTGTTTATGATGCCTAGCTCTTAAGTGCTGACCCTTATGGTATAGAACCTGTGCCCTTTTCATCTGTTATCACTTTATATAACTGTTACTATATTTAAAAGGTTCCTAAGGAGATTAACAAAGCCTGACTGGAATGATTAGCAAGAACAGGACTTCATCTGGTGGTGAGAAGAAGGATCTCAAATATTGAAGTCTGATTCTCTCGGGAATTGCTGCTCTAAATCATCCAAGGGGCAGAAGAAGCTTATGTTTACAGTCCTGTTCTCTGTGCTTGAGTACTTTTCATTACTATTACTAGCCAATCACCCCATTAAGCAATACTACTTAGAGACATTTGTTCAAGTCACCTCCTCAATTTATGTCCTGAACTTAAAATCTCACTTACACAAGCAGATCTGTAACCCAGTGCAGAAACCCATTGTTTTCAGTAGCATTCCACATAGGCAGAATATTACATATTGAGCACACTGCTTTCCATAGGCAGACACGTTTACCACCCTGTTCTGTGGTCCCAATCCACCCAGTATGTAAAGGCCAAACGGATACTACTTCCTTGGAGTCTGGCTCTATTAATAAAGAACAATAAGGTAACAAAGTTTAATTAATACCTTGCTCCAGGTTTGGCTACTCATAGGGTTTCTCCTTCGGGGCTGCTCATACAGTACCCAAGATCTTCCCTGCCCTTAGAGCCAGTCTTCCAATGACAGAGTGTCATAAGAACTCACTTACACATTGCCATCTGCTTTAAGAAAATACTACAATTGTATTAAACCCCTGTGCGAGCCAGGTGGCTGATGAATTTGCCCAGGGTTAACAGAGGGCAGAATTATCTGGAATGAGTTAATCATATTGCTGCCACTGGCATCAACTGAAGTCAGCAGTGGCACTGGAGTTACAGTATCTTCTATAAAAAGCTGATCACAAGCATTGGAATAAAACATCCTTCCACTTCCATTTTTTAATTTTTTCTTAGTCAACATAACAATGAATTGTTAATAAAACATTAAAACAATAAAAACCAACTCATCCTCACCTCTTTTTGGAAATGTATTTGAGACCAGGTGTCTGCACTAAATTTGTATCCCTGTATAAGCAGGTAATAGATAAAGTTTGCTGAAAAGCAGTAGGATCTAGCATAGGTTTCTTCAAATTTAGGCAGCATATACTGAAGCTAAAATAAAGACAAAAAGATTCATGGCACAAGTAAAAATTAAGATAGAAAAAACTTTAAGCAGAACTTGCAATAAGAATACTTAGCAGCTGTTTGCAGAGACACCTTTAGAAAAGTATGATTGTAGACATACAGACAATGAGATTTACACTGGACAAAAACTGTGCTAATCATTTATTTTATAGTGTAAATAATTATAATAAAATCTGCATGGAAAAGATTGAAGCTATTACAGTTATTACATTTTGTCATTTTACAGCTTAGCAATACATTTTAAATGCCAAGCTCTTTAAGATGCGTAGTGTGGCAAAAGATGATCAGAGAATGAGAACAGTATAGCTTGGAATGTTAAAAGAAAACACAGAGACTGTTTGTAGTCTCAGATGCATCAATGCAAATCTGAAATAATTTCAAGCAAATCCTTTCAGAGGCATCAAGTATGTGGAGGCTTGAGGGCCCTGCCCCCACTCCACCCCAGGACGAGGGCTGTCACCTGAAATGTGGAAAACTTTCCACATGTCCATCATCTTAGCCCTGCTCCTCCCTCTCCCCCCCAGCAAAAATAAAAGTTAGCACCTATGCCTTGAGTTATTCTGTATCTATGCTGCTATAGCTGAGATCACAGTACAGTATGCAATAGAAAGCTGGATTTGACAAGGGGTTCTGAGAAATTACAGTGATTGATACAAAAGGCTAGCAGATCAGTTATCTGTATGTATGTCACCTGGGTATTTTTGTCATCATTTCAGCATTGGATGCTCTATTAAGTAGCAAAGAGTATGCAAATGGTTTTGGTCCAATTTTCCATTTACTGCTGAAATGGGGACTAGTGAAGGCAAAACTGGTTATGAAGACAAGATGCCCTCAAGGTACATTAATAATAGTAATTAAAATTAATTAATAAGACTTTTAATATCAGAAACAAACTATCAAGCAAGACAAAAGAATGAAGCACTGCAGAGCAATGGGACAGGTGGCGTGGCAGAGTGCCACTTCGGTGCTCCTTTATAGCTTTTAACATTAATAAAATCTCTAACATATGTCTTTCCTTCTGGCATACTCTCTTAGGGGTTCACAAATGAAGAATAAATCTATCCTCCAACGTATAAATTCTCCAGGGTTCTAATTCTACTCCCTTCTTAAGGCAATGTAAATGTTACCATTGAATTTAACTGTTTATGAGACAATACTGATTTCTGATACTGCCTGGGACATGCTCCAGTTAGAAACAGTTAGCTTAAAATTATAAGTCTGTCATGTCTGGTCACTTCATTTTCTGACCATTGCATCAACAATCAGTCTATCAGTACATGAAAAAAGCAGCTTCCTGAGAAAGCAGGTTCTGATAGGTTTGAGTATCTAGAATGATCAGTGGAAGAGAGTGTGGAGAACTAGACCTGATTCTCATACCCAGTAACGTTTCTCCACAGTGCTTACCAGGTTTATGACCCCTTACATTGCCACAGTAGGAAAAAAGAAATTGGTATAAAGAAGATCAAGCTCATTGTTACTTTCAGGTCCCATCTACATGTTACATTTAAGATGTGATTAACCAGCTAATCATACCTTAAGTGGCCACCTGGCCACATGTTCAATCAAGTAATGGCTTTATAGCTTATTCTTTTTATCAAGTTATTCCAGAAAATATTTGTAATAACTTTGTAGTTGCTTTCTATTATTCCATTAATGGAATGTATGGTTAGGGACCCCTGTGGCTGGGAGCCCCATCAGGTGGTCAGAGTTCCCAGCTGCAGGAGCCCATCTGCATCCCCAAACCTGGGAGCTCCCAGCTGACCCTAGCTCCCAGCTGTGGGAACACATGCCCCCACAGCTGGGAACCCCATCTGCTGATGGGACTCCCAGCCACAGGAATAGCCCAGGTACCCCCACAGCTGTGAGACAACAAACAATGTGGTGTCCCAGCTACAGGGTACTCTATACCTGGGACATCACATCAACAGCAGTCTCACAGCTGCAGGGGTGCCTAGAGCACCTACAACACTGGGATACTGTGTCAGCTGTGGCCTTGCAGCGGCAGGCATGCCTGGAGCACCCCCAAGGCTGGGGGACTGTGTCAGCTGCAGTCTCCCTGCCACAGGAACCCCTGGGGCACCCCCACGGCTTGGACAGCAGGTCAACTGAAGGGGCTCCCAGTCACAGGAGCTTACTTCTTGCTGGTACATGGATCATGATCCTGGACTTCCCCTGAGCTTATAATAAGATGTGATGGGTTCTGATTTGTGATCCCACAATCAAGCCTCCTGCAAGGCACATGTAGCATGGCAGGAGGTGCAACTGTGTGGATTGCACATCAGATCCCATTATGCCTTTATCTGCACATGTAAAGAGACCCTCCTGTAAAAACAAACCCGTTTTTGCTGTGGCATGAATGACAGCTGTGCAAAAGGCACAAAACATAGCTGAAAATACATTTGGTTTGCCCGACTGCTTGTTTCATTTCAAGCAGAAAATGACCTAAGATCATAGGAAAAGTTTCTTGAACCTAGACCAAAGTTTGGAGAGAATTTGAAACTTCTGAGGAAGAAAAGGCTAACAGTTATATGCACCATTAAAAAACAAGTTTATTCATCTGAACTAAAATGGTCTACTTCTAAGTGGCACGTCTTCTTAACCTTTCACCCTTTTCAAATGCAGAAAATTCATACTGACCTGGTTCCAGTTCTGTGAACAGAAAAGCCACATGCTTGAATTAAAATCAGTAAGGGAAAACTGTCCAGTTAAATTCAAAGCATTTACTGTATAGTAGAATCCAGAAAAGGCCTATAAATAAAAGCAGATGAAAGGCAAATTACCCTCATGACTCTATATAAAATCAGAGGCAGGGAAGAAATGCTGGAATTAATAAGCAGAGTGGGTATGCACTGCACTTGCAAACTTACCACAAACTTCCCTTTAACCTTTGGCTGACGGATGCCATTAAATGAACAGTCCTCCTTGTCATTGCAAGCAGTGAAGTTAAACAATAAGGACACCACCTCCTGGCAGAGAGCAGTGTCTCCGGTTCCTCTGAAATGTATGAGCCAGTCTGGGTTGTAATTTGCTGGTCTTAGAGACTGTGTGCAAAGGCTTCCACACACGTGTTTCATTGTTAAAACAGTTTCATAATTCTGTGGATAACATGGATTATCAATCTTGGACTTGTTTCTTGAATTCTGAGGGAAAACAACAGTAAAGTTTATTTAGCAGAAAAGATTTTAAACTTGACATTAATAATAGTATTTTAATTTAGTACATTTATATTATCCCCATTCTCCTTTGACCCTAATAAGACTATCAAGAAAGCAGCTTACTAATTCCACTTCAAACCAAGTCCTTTCTCACACAAATCACTCCTGACGTGGGCCAATATTTACAAAGATAGTTTTACTGCTTAGCAGGATTTTTTTTGTGGCGGTCTCTGATGGCTTGAGGCAGATTCTCTAAAATGAATCACTTGCTTGTAACAAAGCTTCCTGTCCTATCTCACCATTTTCCCCTCTGTCTTCTTTCACAAGCCCCATGTTTGTCCAGCACTTAGCATTACAAGGCCCTAACTGAAGTCTCAGATCCTTACCATAAAAGAATATAAAAGGAAAGAGAGAACATGCCCAGAGAGTCATTGGATACAAACAACAAGACAGTACACATGCTTGAATATACCTGCAATAGTGATGCTAAGAGCCTCTTCTCAGCCTCATCTCTCCCATAGCACTGGTAGCTGTGGGTGTATACATTGTACTCATAACCATACAGATGCACTTGTAATGTGCTATTGAAAGTCTTCAGGGTGTCCTCTGGGATGAATGATATTTGTGTGGAGGCTCCTCCTAGATCAAGTGCACCTGTGGTCTCTGCTCCATGAGGATGGCTCCATGTCCTCCAAAGGTTTCTCTAAAAAGCAAAACACAATCTAGTTACAAATATTGCCTGCATTATTCTCTCAAGCTCTTCTACTCAGTTAAATAGTATGCTACATATGCTATACCGAAGAGCTCACAGTGGTATCAGTAGAAAAGTTTTAGAGTACTATGTTGTTTTCAGAGGGAAATGAAGCTAAAGAATGAAGGAAATGATCTGACATAGCTTGAGCCCAGAGAAAAGGACAGTTCAGTGATAAAACACTGAAATCCCTAAAATCTAATCCTGATTCTGACTCCTTGTATGATCTTAGACAAGTCACTTAATTTCATAGCATCCAAAAAGTGGAGATAATATTTACTTGTCTTTCTGAATGAGTTAGTCTGAAGATTAGCTACTGTTTGTGAGGTGTTAAGTGTTTAAAAGCCTCAAATAACCACAGCACAAAGAATAAAGACAGGCCAGAAGTGAATGAGAAGCAGAAGAGAGAGGTAGATCCTCAGTTAAAGACTCCATTGATGTCCATGAGCTCTGAAGCTTTCTACCAGGTGAGGACCGCATTCAAAGGCTTTACATTTTAAAACCAAATTCACAAGGAAGATCTACCTTCTTAGGTGGTTTTTAGTTTTCTAGAAGTTATTTGGTTTTCATACATCTCCTAGTAAAATTGCGTTGAAGCTTCATGTCATCATAATGCAGAATACAGTAATACAAATACTAGTGGTGATAAAGCATGCAAAATCCACAAATATTTTCCAATATTGTTATTATTTATGAAGGAATTTTTTGCTGTGTGCGAGTACATGTTGTGTCATGTTCAGGAAGAAGAGAGACCAGACATCATACCCCAGCAAATATTTTCATGCAAACTCCTATGGTGAAACCATGACTCTACTGAAACAAGAGCCAAATTCTTCATGTTGCTTTAGTCCTCTGTATTCTGTGTACTAACCTGGTTTCCTAGCATCTTGTGGACCCTTAAAATCCACAACATCTTCCACACAGAATTTGAGATTTTGATCATAAGCCCTACAAAATTAGAGACCATATTCAGTTATGCCCCTGCAGTGAAGTTAGTGTTGCTGTGAGAGTGTAAGCAAAGGGGAAAAACAATGTTCCAGAGTATAGAGTTATGAAATCACTATGTAGTACTTCCACAATGTTCATATACCATCAATTATGTGATTAACTCCTGCAAATGTCTCTGAAGTGAGATGTCACTTTGGATTCAGATCAGTGAGCTATAAATTCACTTTGCAAGCTGTCACAATCTACTAGTAACTGTTCAATAGGGAGAACTAACCATTTTTGGAAGTTGGTTGAATTTCTTTTCAGTCTTACAAGATAACCTAGAATAACCCTCTTGAGTATTCTTGGAAGCAGCTACCTCTGATAAATGCAACTGAACAGCGGACATCTACATTCTGGTAGAGTTAGGCCTGATCTGCATTCAGATTTTTACTAGTATATACTATTCTGGCTAAGGGACCTGGCATGATTTTGGTTTTTTTACCAAAATATTGGTACAAACTCTGGTGTGGATATAGTCATACTGGTGGCATAATAAATTACAGTACATTACCTGCACAAACCATCATTCTTCCTCTATGAAAGCACATTCCTATTTAAACTGATGCAGCTGAAGGAATATTTTAAGCATGTTTATAGCTTTGTCCATGCTAGGGGATTTCTGTTGCTTTAACTGTACCAGTATTGTTGAAGCGGTGTGTGCAAATAAGGTATTAGATTTATCATTCAGTCAGGAATCCTGTTCTGTACCTGATCATGATACAGAACACATTCCATGAAACATATCCCTTATAAAGTATTTTCAGTATTAGTCAAAGTAAAAACTCCACATTTTTTTTTCTATCTTCAGAGCAAAAACTACTGTAATGTATTTTTGTTAGGAATGTGAAGCCAATGGCTTTTTGAACATACAACTCTTCTAAAATGTATGATTTATAAAACAGTACTGTAAGATAAAACATGCAGGTTTTTTCCACACACCTCCACGAAATTGCCCATTAAATAGTTGGCTGTAATCCATCCATACACCCCTTCCTCTTGCCCAGTTATGATTTGTGCACCCCTAAAGTCAAAGGGTTGGGTTGTGAAGTAGCTTTGAATACTTGCAAGGACTTCATTGGCTGCCGTTTCATTTTGCAACCTAAGCAATTCACAAAACACAACATGCTGAGCATCTGAAAAAGCAATTTCATATTTGTCTGCTAAACTAATGACTAAAAATATGCCCATGATTTCTTACTGAAAAATCAAAGTCCATTTTATCTTGGAGGATCAGCCTGTAATAAGGAAAACCAAGTTAGATGTACAGTTACTTTCTGCAAAAGAAGTTGATCTAAAGCAACTTTAGCAGTGTTAAACTGCAGTTATGTCCAAGAGTGGCCATGTGTATCATACAAATACCTGGGTATTTTGTTTTTCATATAAAACTGCTTTTAGTGCACTGAATGTATATGTAAAAGGTGCTGACTTGATAGTTATGGGGATTTTAATCTTCTGTTTACCCACAGAATAAATATAAAAGTCAGCTGGTGCCAGACCAGAAAGCCATATACATAAATAAAGTGTAATACATAGGAAGTTATTTATATCCACTAAAACGTCATTGTTAGCTGTACTGTACCAGGTGTGAATCTGGCCTTCTTACCATCAAATATACACATACACTAATCATTTACTCAGTGGGAGTTGAGAACACATTCTGAGAAGAGAATGATGTCTATGTACTGCTTTTGGTAAAGCAAGCAAATATTTATTTTCAATACAGTGAAGTAACATAGGAAAGGAACAACAGAGCTGGAAAAAGCCAAACCAACAGTTCCTAGTCTTTAGTTTTATTGGCTGAGTTTGGTTTCCTTTTGAGACAGATCAATTCCTGGTAAACAGATGTCTGTCCAACACATATTTGCTTCCTGGTCTCATTTGCTGCATTTCTGTTTACGTACATCAGAGGGTATTATGGGATTTTACTATACCTCAGTAGTCTCATTCCAGCAGTAGCTCCCAGATAGGCAGGGGTATTTTTATGCATATCGGATGGAACTTTCTCCTTGACTTTTTTCATACAGTCATCAATGGGTTTGGCAACATCTCGAGGGCTAGACCCATAACTGGATATGCCAGGGCCTAAAAGAAAACAAGTGGCTAATTTAGTTTTACCAGCTATATCTTAACCTAATGAAAGACATTAGAAGAAACAGCTTTTCTCACCCTTCTGAAAATCCAGTTTGAAAAGATGTTTTAACATGAAATATTTAAGTAAAAAATCTAAAAGAGTAATACAGATATTCATGAACATGCCATGAAATGTTTTGTCAGGAATGTTTCTTTTCAACATATGAGCTACATCCTCTAAGCTTCTGTCCCTCCAACTGCACACAAAAACAAACTAACAGAATAGTTAGACGTCTCCTGCACGGAAAACTCAAGGATCTTAATTACACATAAGTCCACCCCTCTGTGTCCTAAGTGATGTAGACTACGGCTAACAAACTGGCATATGTGAAGCTATATTTTTACCTAGCATCCAATGATAGCAAAAATATCAAACTGTAATGTGTAATTTGACCACAGTTTAATCAAAATCAACATGTTCTACTAAGCAGGGACCTAAAACAGCTGATTCCCCCTAAGGTAAGTGGGGTAGAGAGCG